TTTTTTATTTTTCAACAAATAATACACTGCATATATTCTTCTTAGTGGTTAATTGCTGTACAAGATGTGGACTTGTGATCCTATCCACAAACTCCATTAGAACAAATCATTCTATTCATTAACAGAATGTAACTATATATCTATCCCAACCACTTTGAATACACAGATACAAAATAGACATTATTTCTTTCAAGAGAAGTTTTCTGGAAGGCTTCCAAATGTAATGAGTCAGGATTCATCTACATTATGGAAATCTGTGTATCAAGTAAAAAACTTAAAAATGATTTATCTTCATTATTTTTAGTTTGGTTTCTTCTATCTTGAATTTTAATATTATTTATAGGTCCTTAAAAACACTTTAACTGTTTTTAAAAACTTTCCTGTGCTTTTTTCCTAATACTTTATAGCAAATATCTGTGAAATTGAAAGGATTTTGACTATTTACATATTCTTCTGGCATACTGAAAGTAATAGGACATGTTGTGACTCCATTATGTTATAGCTGTTAATAATTACAGTTAAAGATTTTTAAACACTTTGGTGGAAAGAAGTAATACACAGTGGACTATTAGAGGATTAAGACCTACTCAGGACAAGCATGAAGCTGTGAGGTCAGATGGCCAGTGGGCTTGAGAGAAGGAGCAAAACAGCCTGGCTCAGATCCAGGAAATATCTGCAAATATGCAGTGAGGAACCATCAAACTCCTGCATCATAAACTGGAAATTTAGCTTGCGTTGGGTGAAGCAGGAGGATAGTAGGGACCGTGAGACCAGCTTGCGCTACAAAGTGGGCTCAAGGCCAGCCTGTGCTGCATAGAGAAATCCAGTCTCAAAAGAAAAAAGCAAAAGCACCTGTTTAATGGGGATGAGGGGATGGAGAACAGACAGGGAAAAAAGGAAGAGGAGAAAATCATGTCAATATGTACACAGCATAGCTATGATGATTATACTACCTTCTATCAGTTTTTTGAAGTTAGTTAAGGCTTAAAATTTTCACTTTGTCCAACTTTATGTATTTGTATCTGTAATATCAGCAGCTACAATGAAAACAATGTGCAATATAACAATTGCTAAATACCTGTCACCTTATATTTTTGAAAAATCTGTATCGTTTCTAATGTTTTACCTGTTATTTTTCTATTCTCTTTAAAATAATAAAGAAATAACCTGTTTAATGGTGCTAGTAAAATTCTTTAGCAGCCAGCTTGTTTATGGAATTTGCAATCAGCGAATAACTCTGAGTCCAGAGATAATGCCAGACTGACAGTGATGGTTTCAGAATCCCCTCTGCCAAAAGGCAGAGTGCCTCACTGTTGTCTATTTGCTCACACTGTAGTCATGAGGGGGGGGGGTCCTGTGGGGTCCTCAGAGCCTATCCCAGAGTCAAAACCCGTCTGTTTCCCAAGGTTCTTCGGAGAGCTGCCTTAACTTCTTTGTTGCGTAAACTGTAGATGATGGGATTGAGCATGGAGGTCACTACTGTGTAGAAGAGAGCCAGCAGTTTGTCCACTCCTGGTGAGTGGCTGGCCTTGGGTCGCAAGTATGTGACAGAGCCTGAGCCATAGAAGAGGGTCACCACGAGTAGGTGGGAAGAACAGGTAGAGAGAGCTTTGTGGCGGCCCTCAGGGGAGGGCATGGTCAACACAGAAGCTAGAATCCTGCCATAGGAAGCAATGATCAGTAAAAATGGACTGGAGATACAAAAGACTGCTACCACAAAGACAGCAGCCTCGTTACGAGAGATGTCCCCGCAGGCGAGTGCCAGGATTAGAGGGAGGTCACAGAAGAAGTGATCTATCTCACAGGGACCACAGAAGTCTAAGGAGAAAATATAATTGGTCTGGCCCAAGCCTACTGTGCAGCCTATCCCCCAAGAGACCATAGACAAACGGGCACACACCCCACGGCTCATTCGTGTTGCATAGTGGAGCGGGGAACATATGGCCATGTAGCGGTCAAAAGCCATGGCTGCTAAAAGGCAGCATTCACTGATTGCAAAGAACGTGAAGAAGAACATCTGTGTGGCACAGCCCTCCCGGGAGATGGCCGGGGCCTTGATCACGAGGTTCTGCAGAATCTGTGGCACCACCGAGGATGTGTAGCCAATCTCCAGGAAAGACAGGTTGGCCAGGAAGAAGTACATGGGGGTGTGCAGAGCTGGATTGGTGCGGATGGCCAGAGCTATTAGAGCATTGCCCATCAGTGAGGCTAGGAACATCAGCAGGACGAGAGCGAACAGAAGGAAGCACTGCTCCGCAGCCTCAGAGAATCTGGCAAAGGCAAAACGTTTGATTGACACGCTGTTGTCCTGCCACAGGGAACAATTCAGACTCATGGCCTGGAAAAGAGAAGAGCAAAGAACTCAAAAGTGTTCTGCCGGATGAGAGAGGAAAAGCCTTACATCTTTTTGTAGAACTTTATCAAGGCAGAGAAAGATTTCTATCCTACCAATGTAAAATTCAAAAAGTTTGGAAATTTCTACTTATCCTCATATCTTGTCACAAGTCCTATACTGTGTTCACTGTATCTGCGGATGTATCCAAAACATTAGCAAGCAAGAACTGACAAATGCCCCTTGCAGTTCAACCCTCCTTTCCTTTAATCAGTGGTCAGATGTTACTATGCAGACATTATGCACTACTAAGATGCCCTAACACAGAATGAAAAAATACACTAGAAATTAAAAAGGTCATCCAAGAGCTGCTCATTTCTCTCCATTTCCTTTGTCCCTGACTTGCTTTCTTCACCTCTTTATTCAAATATTAGTGAGTTCAGAGAGTTTTGCCATTATTCTTATGTGCATTGGGATTTAGCAATCAACAAAGGCCCCCTTTTCCCCAAAGGAGGCTTATATTTGAAGGAAGGCAAATGGGAAGCAAATAGCCATTTCCTATAACACCAGGGAGTGTCCTGGGACTGACCAGCCTAGATTAGCAGGTCAGAGAAGGTTCTTGAGAAGGAAAAGTGGGCACCGAGGTCTGAAGAGCAAGCAGAACATCTAACAAGGTTGCACCACCTGTGCTCCCCTCGGCTGTGGGCCCATCACAAGGCAGCTCAGGGCTTCACTCTGCCCCCACTGCAACTCATTGCTAATGGAAATCACCACTGCTGACAGTAAAAATTCACATTTCTTAACATTATTCATGGCATTCTGAGAATCAGGTCACTGAGAATTGATAGAAACTTTCATTTATGTATTATACAGCATGCCGCACATTGCAGTCCTATCAAACACACCATCTTTCACATGTACCTAATGCTGTGGGGCATGTACTACAGTTTGGATTGCTAACTTGGAAATATCATCAACTCAATATTTTTTAAAATTTTATTTTAGTACAGGGCCTGCAGTGTACAGGGTCTATAAGGCCTCACTATGTAGGTCAGACTCGTAATAATTTTCCTTTTCAGCCTCCCAAGTGCTGGGGTTACAGGCATGCACCACCATGCCCAGTCTCAATTTCCATCTCTGTATGCCCTGGTGGCAGGGCCCGCATGGCAGGCTGGGGATCAAACCCTGGCAGCTGCCCTTTGCCTACGAAGGTGCTTTAGTTCACTGAGCTATTTGACTGGCCCACCAACTCAGTATTTAGACATGATTTTCCCTTGGAAATGAAAAAAACAGAAGAGTATCCCTCAGAATGTTTTGTAATCTGTTTATCAACATAAACTGATATGTTTGTAATGCAGTTATTTAGATACTAATGTTTGAAGGAAGTATATATTGTAGAAATGTAGAGGTTTCAAATTTTCAGAATAACCAATCATGCTAGGTACAGTCACAAAAACATGGGCACAGTGCAACATTTACTCACACACACCTGGCACATGGATGCGTGTGGTTGAGAGTATGCTGAATAGTCTAGAATGTTTACAGGCACAGTGTACCCAGGCAATAATGAATATAAGGTAACATTTACTCACATTTTCTCTTTCTGAATTTCCTAATCTATGAAAGGGAGCAATGGTGCAATGTTTCCTGGGAGGCTATTGTGAACTTTGTGCTAATTACGAGTGTTTACTGGGCTTTAGCTACAGGGGCAATCTGTGTACACGCACTGTCACAGTAGAATGCAGTCTACATTCTTTCCTGGGCAGCTTTACATCTCATCCTTAGTGGCTCCTCCAATTCCTCAATGCTGTCACTATTTCGTTAGCTTTCTATTCATCTGTCACTGAAGAGAGGAAAATAAAGTGCATTACATGAATACACATGTATTAAAATCCTGCGAAAGGACTGTAGCACATTATAAATCCTTTACTCCTTAATTAGATGCCTGCTTGTGCAGAGACCAAAATGTTGAAGATGGGGAACAAAGCAATGTCACATCCTTCCCTAAAGATGCAGCAGCCTCTCCATGAACTCATGCATATGGTTTCTGTAAAGACTAAGGAGGAGTAAAGTGTACTTTGAGTTGCACTCATACTCACTGCAAAGCATGCAGAAACATTTCTTGTACTGTAACTAACTTAAACATCTATATTTCTCATGCAGTGGTCATGCTTCACCTAAGACTGAGGCAAAGAACCCAGACAATGGTTTACTTATTTGTTGTTAACTGAGATTTTCTTAATATGCTCAGTGTCAGCCACATCTGCAGATTTCATCCTGAAAATGGATAGCACAATGGGGAGTGGACAGGTAGCATCACACATTCCTGCTTTGGAGGGTATCCGAGGTTTCCTGGATGACACTGAGGGGCAGACCAGAGGGCCATCCCTGCCTGCAAGAAACAATGTCTGACCTCTTTTCAGCTCTCTGCACCAGGAAGATGTCTCGCTGTATGTGCTCTGGCTGCTGTCACTTGCCTGGCATTTGACTCATGGGCTGAGCCAAGACCACATCCCACAATGAATGCATTTCTGACCTTGCAGGGGGCTGGGATCATGACTGGTAAAATGAGTGTCAGTGGTAAAGAGGGTCTTCAAGTACCACTAATGTTTCACCTGATAAAAGTGATATTTGGTCTAGAAAGAAATACTGAAATGTGCAAGTAAGTGTACAAGGATCACAGAGATCAAAACATAAACAAAGGCATCAATGTTTTCTTCTCTTTTCCTGGAAGTTAACCTAGTTGTTAGCCAGGCACATTCTGATTTATTGCAATTTCTGTTGTTCCTGGGATTGCTTCACCTATTGCCAACCTATGAGGTAGAGCATGGCTGTTCAATTTCAGAAAATTTTCCCTTCTCCTCAGGAAGGAGAGAGGAGAGAGGAGAGAACATGCAGGTGACAAGACCATAGTGTCCACATGAGGTGCTGCAGTGGCACAGGTGCAGCTCGCACTCTTCTCCCTCCACTAATGTGCACCACTTAAGACTGGCTGTTTCATTACTTTCCTTAACAGATGGAGTCATGAACTTTTCCCATCTGTCTTGTGAATCTGCTTCAGTTAGAAATGTATATACTGAGATGGCCTGGGGCCTGCTGGATCCTGAATTGACATAGAACACAGGTCCAGTGTGTGAATGAGACCGGCTGGGGCCCACTGGATCCTCATTCGACTCAGAGTGCAGGCCCAGTGTGGAATCCTTCAGCAGAACTCCCTGCAAAGAGTCTAGAGGCAGATCCACCCAGCTGATCAGGAGCAGAACATCATGCCAGAGTGACACAAAGGGTTCAACTCCAACAGCTGCACCAGGAAGAAATGGAGCACAGCAGCCAAACCCCAGCCAGATCCAAGCAACATCCACCTGGAGGAATCTGAACATCATATAGATCCGGACCTGGTGCTAAGGTAATAATTCTATCTAAGCTCTACACAAAAGGTCAGAAGCCAGTGGTATACAAAATGACAAAGAGAAGGAACAAAGTGCAGTCTCAGGCCTCGAGTCTACCCAGTACAAATGCAGAAGACACTAGCACTGAGGAAACTGGAAATCACACACCTGATATCTCTAAAATAATAGCGTTGGAAGAAAAGAAACAACTGTAGAAAGTTATAGAAGACATCAGATCAGAAATAATTTCTGAACTAAAAAACGTAGTGATAACTATAATCAAAGAAGTACTAAGTGCTTCTAAAGAATACATTGATAAAAAAATAGAGCAGAATATAAAAATGATGGAACCCCTGAATAAGCAATATAGGAAAGAAATAGAATGTATGAAACAGATTCAAAGTGATATATAGGAAATTAAAACCTCAATCACAAGCTGGCAAATCCGTTTCAGCGAAAGTGAAGTGAAAATAGACTTTCTGATATTAAAGACACCATTGCAGCTAGTGAAAAAGTAAGAAAAGATCTCTTAAAACTAGGATGCAGGAAAAAATAATTCAATACCTGCAAGATGATGCAAAGATGAACAATGTGAGACTAATAGGCATCAATGAGAAGGAAGGAGTCAATACAAATGATGTAAAAAGAATATGGGCAGAAGTAACAGCAGAAAACTTCCCAAATATGGGGCAACAATCTGACATTCAGCTAACCGAAGCATATAGAACTCTGAATGACATCAACCCAATTAAAATCACACCTAGACATATAATAATCAAGATCCCAGAAATTCCACACAAGAACAGTATACTAAAAGCCTCTAAAGAAAAGAAACAGATCACATTTAAAGGAAAACCCATTAGAATAATGGCAAATTTCTCTTCACAAACCATCAACTCAAGAAGAGCATGGAGCAAAGTACTTCAAGTCTTGCAAAAAAACAAATTCCAACCCAGACTGATATACCCTGAAAAACTCTCTTTGAAGTATAATGGAGAAGTGAAATACTTCCATGATGAAGAACAATTAAAAAATTAATGATGAAAAGCCAAGCCTACATAGACTACTAAATGTTGTCCTAGAGAGGGGGCAAATTGATCACAGCCCCATGAATGAGAATGTAAAGAATTCACCAAATAAGGCAGACAATTAAACACAGGAGAATAAGAGGTATACAATAGTAGTCTTTCAGTTATTCTTTTGTGTTCAGCAGCAAAATATTTCCATCAGCATACTCTACAGATAGACTTCTCTTCCACCCTATGAGTCATAATTCCATCTGAGTCTACAGGGTGGATTTCAAAGAAATAGTTGTAGCTCAGTCCCACAAGTGACGCCTGGCCACCAGTAACTGTCACAGTCACTATGCATGTCCAAAGCACACTAGAACTTTGTGCGATGTCCTATCCTCACACTGTTAAAAGTGCTGGTCATTTATTTGCCTTATGTTTCACTCTTAGTACTTCTTTGCTATCATGAAAACTTTTTCTTAGTTCAATTGTTTTGGAACATTTAATTTTCTGAATATTGCTTAATCTTCATTTTTGTTCTGAGATTTGTACTATATCTTTGACTTACAATTTATTTAAAAGACATCGTGTGATATGCTCTCCTAGTATTAGGAACTTTAAAAAG